CCGCAACCAATCCATGCAGGGCCTCAGGATATGGAAACCGAAGAGAGAGAACCACGTATATATTTTCTATAGCTTCACTGGTTTCACTTTCAATTTTTTTTCATCCAGTGACCCAACCTCCTTCAGATTAGCGCATGTTGAAAGGACTCGACTTGGAGGGTCTCATCACCGGAGTCCAGGCAGGGAGAGGTGGCGAGCAGCGCTTTGCGCCATGTTGGACTAGATTTGTTTCGATGACGAGGACGGACAGTACAGCCATCAGTCGCGTCGAATTGGATTGATTTCGTGGAATGTTCGAGTACTTTTCAAGAATGGACAACATGTTGGGTAAACGGGGGGGTTACCCCCGAACGCAACACACCGAGGGTGAAAAATCATGTGTTTTACAGGGCTTCGTGGCTTTCCGGACACTCAAGTTATCGTCTTGCAACTCATGAGTTGCAAGATGATAAGTTGAATGCGTGTTGACGGACCCAACTCACCCGCCTGCTCCATGTACAGCTTGCCAAGGCTCATTGTTCAGCCGCCAGACATAAGTCTTGTTCCCAATTGAGCTCACTGTACATTTGAGCTGGTGGACAAGTGTCTTGCACAGCTTCTCTATGTATTCTGACAGCCTCGAGCATTGAGTCCAACCCTGGATGTTGGCGGAGCCACAACGCTGCGAGGCCTTCAACGTGCTGTCGTTGCAGCTTTGCATCGCAACGGCCAAGAAAACCCATTCTACGCAGTGTTAAAACAAACCTCGAACGTCGTCCTCTAAGCCAAGAAAAGCGGTCACCGAGCGAACGAAAGGTCACCGAGTCGACAAGTCAACGTCAAAGTCGATGTACGCGAGTAGTAACACGGACGAAGCTGACCCCAACCCCCCCACCCCCACACCCTGAAAGACCGATCGGATATATGTTGCCGGCGGGGCTAACTCCACCCGTTGGCACAACATGTTGGTACACCTGCAGATCTCAAGCTGATCTGTTAGTTTAAGTTCCTCTGACTCTGAAAGCACAGATGTGTGACCGGCCAGTCAGAGCTGACCCCCTTCCTCAAGCGCCGGCGTTTGGATGATTCGAAGGACGCTCAGCAAAGTCGGATCTTGGCCCCTGCTTGCTACTGTGGGAACCAACGAGGGTGGCACCAAGCTAGGCATGCAGCATATTCTGAGGAGGTGATCTGTGGATGAGTGGAACAAAGCAGATGGATCTAGTATTAGTAGGCTCAAGGTGTTTTATTCCCATCATGTGCTGAATGACATAGGTTTCATTTAGGCAGTGGCTCTTGGTGAATTGACACCTTTTGGCAGGTTCAGCCGTGTATGGAATGTCGAAAGACAAAGTCAAGCTGGAACAGACTCATCAGCACTTTGTCCGGTGAAAGTTACCACCAAGGCATATTGCCCAGTTGCAGCCCACCAGCATGACCAGCAACTGGAGTTTTTGGCAAAGATCCTCAAAAGGATCCATGAAGCCCGGTGCCCCAAACTCACTTGACCAGTGTGATCAGTCAGAAGAATCCCACCATGGTGTAGAAATTGACAGTAACCGGGAGCCAACACATGCAACGATGGCAAGGAATGCATGCTGGGGTTGAAAATTACATTGATATCTACTATGAGATGAACACAGTGAAAAGACGAAATCAAACGGAGACTTCATGTGGTAAGCACGGTGTTTGTTGCCGCATTGGTCTGCTCAACTCTAGCAAACAGCTAAGCCTAAGCCAGCAAAAGCAATCAACTGAGGCTTTCAAGAAGATCTCGGTGGATGGAGAGGATTGTGACGGCGTGTCTCAGCACGTCTTAACTTATGAGCAGTACGTTTCGTTGCAATACTGCAGCAGGAAGCTGTTGCTGATGCTTGTTGGTGTTGTGTTTGTAGACCACACCCATCTTTGCTTAGTTTTTGGATGTTTTTTGGCCTCGCTCCACATGTACCCATACACCTGGACATGGTCCACTGAAAGCCTAATCCACCAGGGCCCTCTCAGATCCTTCAGGTTCGAGCGGTGGCCCGATCGCTTCGCGCAGAGACCCTACAAGGATGCATCTTGGCACCTTTTGAGACGATAGGACCCTCAATGCCAAGCGACTTGATCGAGAAGTCGAGTTCTTGGGACAACCCGAAATCTCGGACCTGAGTTCTTGGTGAACTTGAAATATCTGAAACTCAAAGCCGAAACCCTCCAAACCATGAGATGAGACAAACTTTCTGTTCAATTTCTTGGTGTCCGGCTTCTGCCAAAATGCCATATATTTTTTTTGCCAAATCTCTCTAGCACCAAAACTCCGAGCCACGCCTTGCAGGTTGCATTTGCCTCACTGGGATGGGCCAGGCCAGGGGGAGTGCAGGCTGTCCAGTTGTCAGGGCTGTGGACTGGCTGTGGCTAGTTTTGCACTGAGCGCATTGGGAGATGGACTCAAGAGGTACACATACTTCACCAGTGGTAGGGTGGCCAACGGTGGGTTGTTCGACTCCTCCTCCATAGCAAGGCAGAGGATAAAGCGTCCGCAGGCTTGGATGCTTCGAAGTTAAAAGATCTTTGTGCATCTGATCTACCGGCTTCATTTTCAGCTCATGCACATGTTGATGTTGGATACATGAACATGTTTGAATTGAATGAAACAAATCTTTAAGGGGCCTACTGGATATGGGCCTGGCGCCTAAAGCATTCCATGATTTCTCTCAACCTGGTTTCTTTTTAGGCCGCCAAGCGCAGCCTGGCCCGCTGCAGTCGCCTCCTGGGGGCCACGCTGGCGCACAATCTGGGGGAAGCCACGCACCTCGTGGCAGCTGGGCGGACCGAAAAGCTGTGGAGGCCGCGATCCTCGTTGTTTCCGGTGGGAAACCGGAATCCACGAAGAGGTTGGACTCAGTTGGACGTACATAACTCTGGCATCAGGTCGAAATGGTCAACTCCGCAGAGTCGGACGGACTGAAGAGTCTTGGGGTCGTACAATCGGATGGGCAAACGAGGGATACTTGAGCAACATCTAGGCATTTCCTCATCGTTAAGGAGCTGCTAGGCAGCTTCAGTAGACCAGCGTTTGTGGGTGGTTGGTGTTTCCCTGAGACGATCAATGGAACCGCAATCATGTGTGCAATAGCGGACGGTGGAACGATGTCGAGTTGTCAAGACTTTGACCCTTTTTGACCTTGTGGTTCGGGACTTGCACGCCAGGGCTCGTCCTTTGCAAGCAGGCTGGGCTGGAGAGGAGAGATGTTGGCCAAGAATCTCCAGTTGTAGTCCACAAGTTTCAGGAGAAGGAAAGTATATCCTAACTAGACTCACTAGGGCACTAGGGCAAAGCCCCGCTGTAGAGGGCGCCACCATGTGAGTTTGAACTCACATCCTCCTTCAAGACAACGGCATCTCAATAAGTTCAATATTGGACACGGGTTCGGTTTCCCTCCAATTAGTTGGTTGAAAGATGCTCGCAAGTTATTGGCGTCCTCTTCAGTTGTTGGGTGTCCAGCGAAATCGAAGCAGGTGGGATGCAGATCGTGCACCCTGGGTGGCTGCTTCGTGCATATGTCACCTGGCAAAAGCCCAGTGAAGAGACCTTCGTCGGCAATTCAGCGTTGTTGGCAATCTTGCTAAGGCCCATTATTCCAAGAAGGGATCTCATATGGCTGGATTCAGTTGGAGCGTGTAGGGTGAGCTTTTCGAGCGGCCAACAGTCACATCACGACTGGACCTGGTTTGCAGGAAAGGCAACTAGGACGGCCCAACACATTTACTTTAAGATGCGGCTGGTTTGCAACATATCTTGTAGAAACATCTTGGTATTCAGAACACAAGCTGCCAAGATTATGATTACAGTAACTCACTGCGTTGTCTCCTGGTTACAACTTCAAACGTGATCGTCATGAGCCTCACTGACTGACTGGTGCCACCAGGTGTTTGAACCACCCGGAGCTGTCACATATCGCCTATCCATGCCTATCCGACCTATCTCCTCAGCCTGTCCTCCCTTCCCAAGGACCTTTCAGATCCCTTTAAAAGGAGAACTTCCATGTTTCCTGGATCTTTGGAGCAAGGTGCGGATGTGAGGTTTCCATTCGGATGGATCTATGACTGTCTGGTGGTTTCTGTGTGGCGATTTCATCCACTCTAAAATGTCCTCTACAAATTTGGTCAACCCCTGTCTTCTTGGACACGACCATTTTATAGAAAAGACACTTTTTATAGAAAAGAGCTTTTCGACAAAGTTTTCATTGGATGAAAACTCGGTCGAAATCTTTGGGGAGTTAGGAGGCACAGGAGCTAGGAGAACCCCTTACCCAATATTGTAGACTTAGGTTTTTTAACTTGTGGGGCTTGATTTTTTCCATGGATTTGTTGGTTTGGACCTGGGGTGAGGCATTTGTAGATACAAAATGGTCCCCCAAGGGTTGTCGTGTGAATTTCACATGGGATGCAATTCCTGGCAAGGGAGATTTGCTTATATAAATCAGATTCCCTGCAAAAGACGCTTAGTTTGCTTCTTGTGAGTTGGCCTCCTTTCATCAGGCACACACACACACACACACACGCACAGGGCCCTGGTTTTGATGGAGTTTTGATGTGCATCTCAAGATGCTTCAGTATATCAACAATCCAACCTTGGACCTTGGAATGGTGGAAGTTCCTTTTCCCAGCTGTCCTCCTTGTCACGGAACATGTTTTTGGTCAGGCTGCGTGACAGTGTGAGCTTCCAGGTGGGGTCAGGGCATTGCTTGACACCTCGTCTAGACTCATCATCACACTCTGAACATCACTGCTCCACCTTGTAACAAATTACTACTAGGAACAAGAAGCTGCTAGGGGCTATTGGCATCGCTACTAGGAGCAGCGACGCTACTAGGGGCTCCTGGCCTTACTACTAGGAACAAAACCTACTAGTAACAAAGTGCTTTCAGTCCAAAGAGTACGGCCGGGCCGGCACCGTGCCTTTCCATCCGCCGAGGCGAAGGAGCTTTCGTGCGGATGCGCGGATGAAGCTCGTCGGCAACTCAGCGCATCCGGCATTGTGTTGTCGGTGGATGTGAGGTGCTTCGATGCGCTTGCTGCCAGTGAAACAGAATGAAACAGACTCAGACCTACCACAATGACAAGGCCAATCTTCAGTGAAGGATGTAAAGGAGATCCCGATGTTCTTCCTCCTTGTTTCCGTGCATGAATAAGAAGCTATGTACAACTAGGATCAACTGGGTATTCCAGCAGAACATTAGCATGTCGATGCACGTGGCATGTCGTTATAGTAACTTACAGTATATGTCAAACCTTTCGCGCACCGTTGGCACTATGTAAGTTCTGCATTTGTTTGAGCCATTTTTCATGCCTGGAAGATCTTCGTCTGAGCCTCAAAGACTGGCGGCCCAAGCATCTCTGGGGTTTTAGCCCCGCACTGCCATGGAAGGCTCGAAGGTGCATTTGTTCCCGCTGGCAAGGTACCACGGTGTGGACAGCAATGATGCCCGGTTTTGCAACATAGCCGACATAGCCAGGCTCATTGGCTGGGGTCCAGATAATTACGTGACTGCCATTGATACCAGCTTGACTACTAGTGTGTCTAGCGCATCGTTCAGCTGCGAAGAATCCACTATCGGTCCAGCGAGGTATTTCCACATTCGGTTCCACTTTATAACTTGTTTGCTGCAATCTGCTGCAATACTTGAAGGCTTCTAGTTGCGCAAGCAATCTCAAAGGGAATTTGGACACCACCTTCATAAATATGTAAAGTTTAAAGAAGAGATAAATGTAATACATGATACATGTATATAAATCTTACATTATACAACCCGTGTTTTGGCACGGAATGACCAGCCTTACAAGTTGCTATGGGTCTGTATGGGCTGAGTCTTTCCGGCGTTGAGATGAAAAAAGAACTGAGGACATCCTGAATGCACTTCACGAGAGCCAACACCGGCATCAGATCCAGCAGCTTTGGGAGCCTTCCTCACGGCTCACCAAGTTGGTAGACTATCTCTGCTGGGTTTGTCGCGATCATCGCGCTTATATCCGACAGGAGGTCAGAAACGGGTCGTGGGTCGCAGAACTGCATGTGGAGTCACACAGTGCTTGGAATTCATACAAAGTTAATAGCCCAGTTCTTGAGGTTCGTTTGACCTCAAGAAGTTTTCAATGGGGTTGTTCTCACGAGTATATACCTCCATCAGATGCAGGATGACGAAGATTCTTTCGCGTTTTCTTTGCACTTATTGGCCACTGAAGTACATGAAGCAGCTTAGCTTGAAATGCTAGTTCGAATACCAGGAGCTACTAGTAGCGTCCTTGTTCCTAGTAGCGATCCTTTGTTCCTAGTAGCTTCTTGCTCCTTGTAGTAATGCCAGGAGCGAAGGCTACTAGTAGCTCTAAATTGTGATATCATGACCCATTCATTGCTCCTTCCAAGTGCCATCGCAGGCAGTGCTGCTGTTGAAACGCTATTGGAAGGCACAGGGCGGCCACTCGGAGGCCCATTGGCAGGCGAGTCAGATGGACCCGGTCGATCCTTGAAGAGACACCTTCGTTCCGGAGCTCTGTTTGGTATAGAGCCTGTGTAGACCTGGATTCCTTCAGTGTTTCTCAGCCAGTACCTTCGATGCACCATCCAATACGGTGCAAACGAGGTGGTGGCTTTGACGTGTGGTAACCTGGCAGCAAAATTCTGGCAGCGTCATGGCATCTCGGAGTCCCGCATGCACTGGCTGAGCTGCAATGCAGCTAAGTCGCAACACAGGGGGGTTAGAGAGGGCGCTTGATTACAATACGTGTGGCTCCTGGAAATCTGGGCTTTTAGCTCAATTGAGCTCATTGCGATTCATTGATCATTTGCCGTGATTGCTTCAGCGCCTTTGCATTGCAACACCTTACAACAACATTTGCATAGTTTACTTTCTTGACAACATAATCAACATGTGATGCGTGAACTCCTTTCACCCCGTACCCCAATGAGGACACCCCAAATATTCACGGAATGGATGGAGTTCTCTGAAAATCTGCTTTCAGCCGGAACACGGTCACCCCAGCCGGGAGCGTCGTCTAGGCCTTCACACATCAAGACTTCGTGAACGCAGAGGTGGAGGTTTTAACGGCCTTGGAGTGCAACGTGCACCTTGAGGGGGTGCTGCTGATCGAGTGGGTCCCTAGGATTTGCACATGGATTTTGTTTGGTGAATGTGTGATAAGGTCGGTGAAGGTGTGATAAACACCGCGGAGCTTTCGTACTGTTCCATCATGGGTGGGTTGTGCAAGGATTTGTGATGACTTATGACTCTGTAATTTTGGGTTTGGTGAACCTGGGGGGTCAAAGGTTTTCCTGCTTGTGAGCTTGGAGCAAATCAATTCTGATGGCCGAGGTTCACGTCAACGCAGGTTTGGACTCGAGCTAGATTTGAAACTGATGTAACCGTAACACTCTTCTGAGTGATTCCGACTCCGACTTTCTCCAGTTTGAGTTTGCCTTCCTAGCATCATTCTTTGCCGAGGTCTCCTTGCTCCTCTTCCTGTGCCAAGAGCTTTTGGCTGATCCAGAAGACATGCACAGCTTGATGGAGGTCGCAGCGAAGCTAATGGATGCTTTGGCGTTCCAAGATGAGCTCATGGCCCATTATTGGCCATCCCAGTTGGCCGCAGCCGTTCTCCATGCGACGGTTCTCTTGTGCACCAAGTCCTTTCAGGACAATGTACCGAAGATCCGGTTGCAAGGGTTTGGGTCGGGTGCTCGTCGGGAAGCTAACAGAACGTCCGGAGTGAGTGCTTGTCCTGGAGAAAACACTGCGACTTGTGTGCTCCGGCCAGGAGTACAAGTTTTGCCAGCGGGTGAACCACCTGTGCCGTGTGGAAGATGGGGATGTGAGCAGTCTGTCCGAGCGGAGCTTGAGCAGCAAAGGGTTTGGAAGGGGTGGCACGGACAGGTCTTGTCCTTGTCGGCAAGTTTAGAGATGGGACGGCCTGCCCTGTCTCAAGAGTCGAATTCCACCAGGGAAAGCTCGCTGATTCAGACACTATTTCTTAAACGATCTTAACAGTCAGGGTTGTGGAATGCAATTAAAAAGCACCTTTCAGCTGTATAAAAGTCATCCCAAGCAAGCATGCTGGCAAGGATCCTCCAAGCAACAGTGGGGGCTCAATGTGCTGAGCTGGTGTGTGAAGGTGGCATCTCAGATGATGATGAGGAGGACTCCGAAATGCTTCCACTCGCCTTGCGTGCTCATGGGGAGGATGGGCTCTAAGTGGAGTGGCACTGCGGTATCATCATGCAATTCATTGTGGGGGATCAACCTTTATGATCCAGGACACTGCATGCTCAGTTGTGCTGCCCTGGTCATTGCATCAGATGGCATAGCAGATCCATACAACATAACTCCAACCAAGGCATTCATGAGGACCAGAGTGCCACGCCGAAAAGAAGCTCTGCCAGTAGCCGGGTGGGAAAAGGACAGCCAAGTGCCACGTGTTGCTTCTCATTGCTTCTCCACCAACACCAGCTGGCCCAAGCAGGTTGAAGACGAGTTGAGATCCCATGTCACGGTTGTCCTTAAGGCTAGAAGGAGGTGCTTGGGAAGATGCTGCACGCTCAGCTGCCCTCAAGGTTGACACCTGTCAAAGCTGCATTGATCTCTCATCAACATATTCCCTAAAGAAGTCTAGTTCATTCCTGTACAGGCAAAGGGCCTGGGAGCAGTCTATGCATGCAGTAGTAATATGCATGGCTCTATCTTGGGGCAGCAATTTTTTAACTATATGCAGAAAGAGGTCATCACAATGGGTTGACGCTGCTCGGATTCTGCTCTTGAATGTTTTGGACCACATTGTTTTGCAAAGGCCCCATCATCCTTGATGTCGGGAACAATGCGAAACTGCGTCGACACAAGAGGCCAGAATGTGGGGGAAACCGTTGGTGGGACCCTTGGTTGGCAGAAACATGTACAGGTCGAACGAGATGGACATGCAATGCTTGTGTCTTATGTGCCTTAAACTTCACCTGCTCATTTGTGCTCTTTGGCACCTTGGCCCATGTCAATGCATAGAGTCTAAATGATCTACATGCTATGTCATGCTATGTCCATGTTTGTTTGCTTCTGTCATTTGCTCACACAGGCCTTTCCTGTAACATGTATAGACTGTATAGATGGCTTGGTGAGACGCGCTGATGAGATGCGGGGATTCCACTAGAAGACTCGTCACATGTTCTTACACTCCGAGTGGGACGGTCACTCTAATGGACGCTCAAAGGGCAGGGCTCGGATCTGCGAGTCTCACGGAGCACCCTGAGCACCCTGTCTCCGCGTCGACCCATTCGCCTGCCTTTTGGCTTCAAAATGGCTGGAACTCTCCCTGTTTCGGTGATTGCTGCTTTGGCCGTCTCTTGCTGTGTCTCCAACTGACCCGAAGCCGAGCTGAATCAACCCACGTTGGGTGCATGTTCATGGTGATGAGATGCCGCATCATTGTGTGGTTGGTTGGTTAGATTTCTGTATTCTGCAATGCGAGGTTTGTGACCAGAAGACGTGCCAATTGTTGCCTCTTGCCTATGCTGCCTTTGGACGGACGGGGGACTGTACCCAAAAGTTTCATTCCTGTTTGAAGTTTGTGTTGAGTAGGCACTGGTGCTAACCATGTTCGTTCTGTCAAACACTGCATCGATCTGGAACGGCACACGCCTGATTGGTGAGTGTGTTCAAACACTGTACTGTATACATTTGTTGGTTTGTTGTTGCACTTTGTCACTTTGTGCTTACTTTCTGCCGGTTCGAAGCGTCAGGGTTGATTTGCCCTTTTGGACTCACGCGATGACTTTTCCTTCCAGCCTTGACTGCAAGGCTGAGGTGGTGAAGGTGAGCAGTTTGGAGGCTCCATGCAGGGATCTACTCAGAACGTGCGCACTGTTGGATGGTACAGTAGTTGTTCAATCCCTTGTTGGAATTTAGCAAGCAAAGCATATCTTGAGCGGAGCACTTTTCGCCATCTTGCCAGTGTGAGTCTTCATACAAGATCCCTTTCCCAGCCCCTCGAAGGTCGGAGACTGAAGAAATCAGGACCGATGGTCAGGCGATGGAAAAGAGCTCTGAACAGTAACATGCTTGCTCTTTTTTGGATAACACATGTCAAGCTCACAGCGAAGCTGGATTTTAACCTTTCCAACAATATACTGTATATTATATTGTGAATAGCATGTCGCTTTGGATGAAATCACGATTCCGAAATGTTTAACTCTCGAGGTGGCCCGACGCGGCCCTATGTGCAGGGGACAATGCACATGTGAAAAGGTCTTGCTGCCCACAGTGGTAGTGGAGCCAGGTTCGGCCCTTGGACCTGGCTCGGTTGGTCGGTTTTGTTTGGGGTGTTTTGGGGTTGTCCCTGGTTGGTGGTTCGCTTTGAGCCATGCCCCCGGTTGCGGCTGCGACAGCAGCCGATGGTTCGTCGAGGCCGGAAGGCCAGGAGTTTGATGAAGGGCTGCCACGCCCTGGTGACTTGGATGAAGAGGAACTGGCCGAAGAGGCCTTTGACAGTGATGAGTTCCGGGCATTTCTTCGAGCCCGGTATCCACACCGCCAACACCGGCGGCGCCATGGCAGCTCGACCAGGAGTGCCGATAGTGACTTGGGCGACGGTGGTAGCAGCTTTGGAAGCAATGGGCCACCGCCAGAGTGGGATGGCGAATCCTTGGCCTTTCAGGACTATGCCATCAAGGCCAGGTTGTGGCTTGCTACCACCAAGGCCCGTCCCCGTGCACGAGGGCCGCTACTCCTTCAGAAGTTGACGAAGACCCCCTTCGAGACCATGAAATATCTCGCCCGGGATCGGGCGTGGATGACCAGCGATGGCAATGGCGATGAGTTGATCGCCCTCATGGAGCTCCCCGAGAACTTCGGTGAGGACCGCGAGGAGGACCTGTTGGCCGCCTTGGCGAAGATCACCTTCCATCTTCGCCGAGGCAAGGATGAGCACTTTCGAGCCTTCTTCAGCCGCTGGGACGTGGCAATGAGGAAGGTGACTGAGCACTCCGTCGTTCTTCCCGAACGGTACGTTGGTTTCTTGCTCATCAACGCCTTGGTGCTCTCCGATGCCGACATCAAGTCGCTCCTCAACTACTCTCGAGGGTCCATCAAACCCGGAGACATCCGGGAATGGATCCGCAAGCACGAGACAAAGCTCCAGGCCTCGCAGGTCGGGATTGAAAAGGAAAAGAAAGGAACTATGACCACGAGTTCTCGGATGACATCCTCCGCTGCTGCCCACTACATCAATGCCGAGCCCAATGACCTGGAGGATGACGAGATCTATGCCGTGGAGGAGGCGCTTCAAGACCTCCAAGGTGAAGACGAAGAAGGACACGATGGAGAAGACGGTGATGGAAGTGTTCTCGAAGAACACGAGGCCGCGGAGGTGCTGAGCACCATTTTGCAGCAGAAGAAGAAGACCTACATGCAGACCCTCAAGGCCAAGAAGGCGAAGGAGCTGTCGAGAGGATATTCCAACACCTTCAAGGGCAAGACCAAGAGCTTCACGATGGTGGGGCACAATGCTCCTTTCAAGGAAGGGAACTACCGCATGACCGTGGAGGAGTTGAAGAAGGTCACCAAGTGCGCCATCTGTCGGAAACCCGGTCACTGGCACAAGGAATGCCCTGACAAGGACCGAGATCGTGGAGCCCCGAAGGAGGCCCATGTGTTGGAAGAGGCCATCTTCTGCGGCCACCTTGAGGAGCACCCGGGTGAGGGTGCTTTTCTCCCTGGAGGTGAACGCCTGAGCGATGAAATCTCCGCAGATGTCCCGGGTCATGGCGGCCCGGGATCTAGTGATCGACGCCTGATGGCACCTCACGTCGAGAGTGCATATATGGCCGAACTCCAGGGTGACCCTTGGGAAGGTGGCTCCAGTAGTGATCGCGATATTTTTGGGGTTATGTATGGGGAAAGTCCGAAACTTGTTTCCGAACCCGTCCGATCGAACCCGTATCCCGATGAATGTTGCGCAACCATCGACACCGGTTGCCAACGAATGGTAGTGGGCCGGCAGACCCTTGAACGACTCGCTCAACGTCTCCCTCCTGGACTCCCAGTCAGGACCAAAGATCAGACCCACCGTTTCAAGAGCGTCCATGGGATCTCGAGCACCCAAGTCGTCGCGGCAGTTCCGACAAGCATTGGACAGAAGGGCTCATACTTCATGCCGGCCGTCTTCGACAACCCCGAGAGTGTGGCCGCCCCCTTCTTGATCAGCCTGCCCTTCCTCATCTCGTGTAGGGCGGTGATCTACCTCGATAATGAGACAGGACTCCGGGTGCGGTTCAGGAAGCAAGGGTTTACGGTTAAATGTCACCTAGGACCCACCGGCGCCCTTCGGATTCCGTTGTGTGAGTTCACCCCCGGTCAATTGGAATCTCTCAGTAAAGAGGTCAGCGGCAACAACCAAGAATTTGAGGTACTCAAGACGGAACAATCACATGATCCCGCCGCAGACAGTTTTTCACAGACCAAAACCGGAGCCCCTGACAACGAGCGTGAACCTCCGAAGCAATCCCCCTCTCATGGAAGCCATGCCGGAGCTGAAGCGACCTCGAGGACCACGAGAGGAGGCCCACTTTCCCTCTCTCTGGGGATGGAACCGCCTGCTTCGGAAGTTGCTCTATGTCATGCAAGGGCTCAACGTGTTGCTCGAGAACCTGATGAAGCGGCCGACGGAGGCCCGCGACCTACATCCTCCTCGCCATCGATTACCCGATCCGGAAGAAGAACGAGCGCCTGCGCCCCGAACTCCGACCAGGACCACCAGCGAAGCCTCATGGGAGAGAATGAGCTCTGAATTAGCTCCTTCAAGCCAGTCCCGGGTCCTCCCAGGGAGATGTGACTCAGCTGCTCGAAGAGATGAAGGAGATCGTTGGACCGCCGCCCAAATGCGGTCATGGACGCCTATGCCGACTATTCCTGAGTCACACGGCGAAGAACAACCGCCGTCTCTTCTGGAGGTGCCCGATGGATCGACAAGGACAGTGCTCCACCTTCCAGTGGTGCAATCGGCAACCACTCCGTCCGGATCTCGATCACCTGGAGGAGCCTTCACCACAACCTATGAGGAGGGGAGCCCCATCGTCGTCCACCACACCGCAGGTACCACCACTACCCCGACGCTGCCCGCATCGGAACATCAGCCGAGCGGGAACCAATGCCTTCAAGATCATGGAGAAGTGTCTGGACTGCAACCGGACCCTAGTGGACGAGCCAACCCCTCTGGGAATGGAAAAGGCACAGAAGCGCCAGGAACAGAAGGACCAAAAGTCCCTCTACATCACTCGACTGACTCGCCAACATCCGGGAGCTCAGTACCAAGAGGGATACCCTCCGCCTCGCTACCCGATCTACCAGGAGGACATGAACAATCTCACTCCGCCAATGGCCCGCCGCCTGCAGCAGTCGGGAGCTTCAGTCGGGGGGAATTTGGGAGGACGGTCCCTACCAGGGATGATCAAGGCCGAGGAGAGTCAGCTGAGCGGTAGGAAGTTGAAGCGCTTGCTGCGACAGGGACAGGGTGCCCTAGCAGAAGCCCACCAAATGTGGCAGAACCTTATGACTTGCCTACAGGAGCCAGAGGGACCTAATCCCTTTGACCAGCTGCTCTGTACAGTAGCCAATTATTCAAAAACTCCGAATTGTAAATTCGTGCACCGTTTGGCCAAACTCCTGGGACCTTCCACAGGAAAGAAACAAGCTAAGCTGGTCGCAGAGGTTTACAACCCGAATCGTTTTTCGAGCCGTTCGAAACGACATGGTTTACGAGCCGGCGAAGCGTTCGACCTCGAACTCGGACATGACTTGACTAAGGAAACCTATCGTAGGACCGTCCGCGAGTATTTGAACAAACATAAACCAGGGCTGGTGTGCATCTCCCCTCCTTGCACCATGCTGTCCATGTTGCAGAATTTGAGTCTTAAATTCCGAGAGTCCGACCCTCACAAACAACGGGAATACCATAGGAGACTCATGGAGGCCAAATTGTTGTTAGGATTTGCGGTGGAACTGTGCCACATGGTTCATGAATATGGGGGTACATTTCTATTTGAGCATCCATGGACATCCAAGGCCTGGCAGGATCACCGCCTGAGGACCCTCCTTGAAGATCCGGCTATCTTCCTCACCAAGAATGACCAATGCCAGTTTGAGCTCAAATCCATCGAGGGTGACTACCATAAGAAGCCCACTGGATGGTTGTGCAACAACAAGGTCTTGGCCAGTGCACTTCACAAAGAATGCCCAGGCGACCACCCTCACCGACCAATCCTTGGATCCTCACACGGAATCCAAAGATCAGCCTACGCGGCTAGGTACCCTACAGCTCTGGTAGACCACATCCTTAAGGCATATAAGGCCTCCATCTCCTACACCGAGGAGCTCTATGTCTCCCACACCGACGACCTCTTCAAGGAGAGCTACCAAGTGGACCGACTCATGGAGATCATGGCGAGCGAAGAAATGGAGTCGGAGGAGGGACCTCAAGCTGATCATCATGAACCACTGCCAGTTCGTGATCTAGGAGAAGATGAACTACCGGAAGAAGACCCTCATGCTGAACGACCTCTACCTCTTGAACGACCAGGTAGCATTGAAAGCCTTGTTCGGAGAGCGCACTGCGGACTAGGACACCCAGGAAACCAAAAACTAGCAAACATCCTGAAGACCGCCAAGGCCTCCACGGAAGCCGTCAACATCGCCAAGAATCTTGTGTGCCCGACTTGCATCAGACACAAAAGAGTCGATGGGGCACGACAGGCCGCTCCTCCTAGACAGTTGAAACCAAACCAGGTGGTGGGAGTGGACACCGTATGGCTACCGGGAGTTGAACCTGGCGGCAAACTCAAGATGGCCCTCAACTGCGTTTGCTGGGCTACTCGATTTCAGTTGATGATCCCTGTAAAAGACCACACACCTCAAGGAGCAGTTCGGGCATTTCACCAGTGGCTCAGAGTTTTTGGACCACCAGAGGCCATCTATTGTGACCTTGGAAAAGAGTTCAAAGGACACTTCGAGCTCATGGCGGACCAGAACGACATC